GAAAATATAAAAATCTGAAATTTGATTTTGATTTTAACAAAAAATTTTAACCAGACAAAACATACTACTACATAACTATATATATATGTATATGTATACACACATGTATATATATATAATGTATATACACTTCTACAAATGTTACAGTGCCACACAAACACACACACACACTCACACTGAAAGCCTCACAGAGCGCGGCCAACTAACAAGCATAGCAGCAAAGCAGCTAGCGAACGGCATCAAAACACACATATTACTCATACGCCCCATGGGCCGGTATGGCTATCCAGCAATACGTTGCTATACCTTCTAACAAMAACAACTACTACTATCCAATCAATCCATCACAAACTCAAAACGATTTCAGAACATTCGATCGATCAAACACACACCCACACACACTCACACACACAATTACATTTACAACAAAAACAAGAACAACAAAAAATAATTCTGGCAAATGAAACGAAATTACAAATGCAAAAGCAAGAATCAACAGAAATATATTTATACTTTTCAATTTTAATTTACAACAACTACAACCACAACCACAACAACAGCAGAAGAAACAACAACAGAAACAACAACAAGAACTCATTTTGTATTCGTCTCTTGATTCATTTTGCTTTCTATTTATTCGCTTTATTTCAAACTTATTGTGTCGTCTACGTTGCTCTACGTAGTTAAACTAAACTGCCAATGCAGGCGTGGCATTTAGGTATTTACTATATTCTCATTTAAAGGCTCGCCCCATCGATATGATTTGATTAAATTGAATATATAAATATATACATATATCTATATGATTTGAATTGTATTTGATTTATTTTTGGATTGGCATTTTTGAGAACCATTGAAACCTGTTTGAAAACAATACAAAAAAATAAAAAATAAAAAATAATAACAATAACAACAAAACATGTATCGTAATTAAACTGTTCTGAGTGTATAATGTGCGTACTCTTAACTACCAAATTATCTTGTTGTAACTTTAATAAATTCTTATTGATCGCCAAAATTTATCAACCTACTCTTCTGCTCTCTTTACATATCATATCTATATCTTGTTAACAAATTTTGATTACCTTCTTCATTTCTTAGTTGTCCCAGCGCAAATTCACGGCGCAGGTGTTGCACGTTTTCAGTTTCTAATCTTTAGTTGACTCTACAAAAAACAAAAACGAGACAAGAAAAAGAATAAAAATAAATCCCAAACAAAAAACATCAATTAGAATTTCAGCTAAGTAAAGAGGCAATGGGGTTGGGTGGGGCAAGATTGGCTAAAACCGAACCTGAACGATTTTTTATGAATTTTGTTTGTCCTTGGTTGAACTTATTTTGTATGCCATCATCTAGTCATGTTGCATTATATTAGCCCTTGGAGAATCAGTGATTGGTGTTTAATAATATTGTGTTAAATATTCGTAATTGTCTATATAGTCCTTGATAATCGAAACTCGTAATTCGTATATAAATAAATATATATATATATGTATATTATGCAAATCAATTAAACGATCAAAACATCCAGCGATAATAATGCATATTAAAATATTCCATTAAATAACGAAAAACAAACAACAACAGCAACAAACGTATACGTAAATATTAGAAAATCGCATTAAACAATGTACACACACCTAACTTCATTTGTCAAATGGTTATAGAGAAACTCTCACATTTTTGAGCATTTAAGCAACTCCTAAATAAAGCAGCAGCCCCTTGAGATCTGTAATCTTAATCCGAATCAGAATCCGAATTAGCAATATTTTTGTCTAGTCCGTAAACAGAATTACGTCAAGAGCTGCATTATTTTGAGTTTGGTTTTTATGTGCAGTTCTTCTAGCCATGCATTCGATTTGTTCAATAATCATGTGACATCAAAACTAAATATGTGTGTGTACAATATCTTAATAAATAAAATAAAACTAACGATGCTCATATATATACAAAACATATAATACTTTTAATCTCTGTCCCAACTCTCTCTCTCTGTCTCTCTGTGTGTCTCTCTGTCTCTCTCTCTCTGTCAATCTGTTTATGTCTCAGTTATAAGCTACTTCCTATTAATGTTGTAGTTCTTGAGAAACTTGTATTTATGTCTTCCGCTATATAATCGATTTCATAAATTTTAATATATAATGAAAAAACCAAAACCTATGTAATTGTTTGATTTTGTATCCCCTTGGTTCTTTTTATTGTTTCTGTCTGTGCTCTGTCTCTCTCTCTCTCTCTCTCTCTTTCTATTCTATTCTATTTTATACTTCTGTCAAACGAAAAAACCACAATAAACCATATTACAATCAATAAATAAACGAATTGGCGCATATAACAAGCCCCAACACAACTTAACATGAACATCAATCAATTTGCGTTGTAATTTGTACTTCTGTTAGATATATACGTAACTCTCAACTCAACTCAACTCTATTAGCTCTATCAGCTCTATCAACTTTATCATCGTGTTATGTGCTATGTATGGATGCGATTTAGGAATTGGCTTGAACTGATTGACGCCATTTGTCTCACAGTAATCCATACCTTACCATTTAGTTCTCTGAATCGTGATTGACGTGAAGTTGTTGAAGTACTATATACTAATCATATCTCATATAGAATTGGGATCGCCTAGGTCGAGACTTTGTAATGCGTTCACAGTCTTTGGTGAGTCTTGAGTGCGGTTTCTGGTCAGAAACTCTTGCCGCTAATCGAAAACGCAGAAACCTACACAAACGTGTGATAACCAAGAGAAATACATATACCCGATACCAATACATCCGAATCCCACCAATACATAAAGCACACATTCAGTTATTTTCAAGCTCTCAACTAGCAACCATCTCTGTACCCATTTTGTGTGGTTCATTTTGAGTTATTTAGCCCCATCGACATTTATACCATATTCATGGCACGTAAAGGACTCATATGAAACGTAAACCTCATTTGTTCAATGGATTCTTTTTCGGTTCCTTTTTGGTTTTTAACATATGCTTCATGTGCGGAATACATGAGCTGTATTGATCTTAAAAAGTAAATAGAATATCTAAATGAAATGCGTGGCCAGGCAAAAACTTTTAACTTTTCACCTATTCGAATCTATTCGTTTCCCCCGATACTATTGCATTTTGAGAACAGCAACAACAAACAGCACATTTTTAATCAAAATGAACACAACGAAAAAGCATTGCAATTTAGATTAGTTCTAGAGTTAGTTAGCTTGCTTTCGATTTAGAGAATGAAACGAAACTTTTTCCCAAACACCAAAAAACCTTTTGACACTATTTAGCGAAATTCATTCACCAAATTAAAAGCAATCATCAAAATAATCAACTTAACTCATTTACTCAACATTTCTAAGGTCATTTCTCGAGTCGATAGAGGGTATCAGAGATAAAGATATCCTACTTCCTTTGAGTGTTATCGGTTCGTTTACACCACAATAAATTTATCGTAAGCTGATGATTAAAATAAATTTATGGAATTTATGTTTTACATTGGATTTGCGGTTTCTTTTTTTTATCAACTGGATCAACTTGTGAAGTGCTCAACCGAGTCTCAAATTCCTTTGAGACAAGTGCAAAATATAATAAAAAATAATAAAAAAGAAAATTATTATTTGAGTACACATATATACATACATTTTTCATACATCCAACTCGAGCTTGTAGTATGATATGGTGCCTGCACCCTCCCCCTACCCACCCACACAGCCCCAACCACGGCCACACCCATACACCCACACACAGAAACACAACCACACACTAATTTAGTTATAATCAGAAGTACGCATGTTTTAATTGATGCACCCTAATTGCAATTAGTTAAGTAGGGGAATGAGTATGCCTGCCCGAGTTTGCCTGATTGCATGCCTGTCATAAGAGTTACAGCCCGAATACATAATAATACATATACTATAACATACCTATATACTCTCGATATGAAGACACTGTAGTAGTTTGGATTGGAATGAGTGTAGCCCTGTATACCCTGTATATATGTTAAGTATATAAACTTAGAGAGAACACACAATTATTTCTAGTACTCGTTGATGCTTTATACGATGCATGTAAGTTGAGTAGTACCAACGGTGTGCGTAGCTATTATTTAGTTAGTGAAACTCTTTTGTTTTCTCTTTCACTTTGGATATCGTTTGATTTGTGAAATACAAATGCAAAGCTATGGAGCCAGTTGAATATTAAACAAGCGCTTTGCACCTGTACCTGTACGTATTTTAATTTTTATCTTTTATTTTTATTTTCGAATTTTTTTTTTTTTTTTTTTTGTTACCTTTAATTTTGTGTTCAAAGAGATTTCTGGGGTAGCAGACTAAATTCATGCATATTGCAGTGATTATTCAGTTAATTGTATTTTTTTTGTGTCTACTATATAATTTTGTGTATTTTGATTTAATGAAAATACAATGTAATTTATATTTATAATACTGTTTACTGTTTTAACAACAAAATAACACTGACAAGTTGTAATAGTAATTATAATAAAAACAAATCAGTTGATAACCTAAACAAAAAATATGAAAATATTAATCTATAAATGAATAAGAAAAACATTTTTACAAAAAACACCAATTATATATAATACATACACATACTCATACACACACCCACGCACACATTCATCCATTACAACTGTAACTAGTTGAGCTTAATTGCAATCGTTGGTAAAGCTAAACAAAATTCAGTAGATTTTGTTTGCCAATGATTGCAGCGCACACAGATACACAGATACACAAACACACACACACTCGTACACACATGCGCATACACATATACATCGCACACATACTCACTGCACACTAATACAGCTAAACTACACGCAACACGATAGTTGTGGCATGTCAAGTGTCACACTGCTTCTGCATCCCACTCTAGAATTAAGTCACACTTTTGCTTATGAATCGACTGCCAATTCCAGAGAATTTACTAATATATCTTTCTTCCTACGACACACAAACACACCAACACCCACACACACAAACATAGACATATTGTGGTATGCGGTCACATAACATACGAGTCCGTGTCGCATTTCCTGAAGGACTTTCTACACGAAGATCGTGAGGATGTCGACGTCGAAGTAGTCTTTTTACATCGGTAAGTTTGCTTTCTGATCCCGATTTCCTTTTTCTTTTTTTCGTTTATTTCGGTTTTTTCTTTTGAATATCGATCAACGATCAAAAACACTTTTTGCCAATTTGTATAATTGATTATTTAAGTTTCTTTCCTAAGTTTCGTAAATGTGTTCTATTATACGATAATTCAATAATTTAGTTAAAGCAATCAGTAAAGAATACAAATCAGTTTATAAGCAGAATTATTATTATCGACCTCGCCGCAGGCAAGACACATTTTGTTTTGCTCTCTCTTTCGCTCTTGCTTAGAGAAGGTCTTAGACAGTTAAGTCTCTAAATAAATTAGTCAGCGCACTTAATTTAAGCATCATTGCATTATTCAAATTAGTTCGTAGCTAACACAAAATTCCAATTATGATTTTGATTTTGATTTGGACTTTTTCTGTCATATACCTTAACTTGTTCTACATAATTGATTAATATAAACTATATATATATATATAATATAACGTAATGTAAAACAAATAGCAAAGAGCCCGACCTGGAGCTAGAGGGACTGCTGAAGCGCCACTATACAACAGTGGCGTTTTTTCAGGGCACAATGATGAACGCAGTCGATCTGGAACGAGTCAAGGTACACAATAACACTGCAAGGAGCAAAGCATAAAATACATACACATATACAGAGAGACACACACACACGCGACACAAACACAACACATGCAAACAGAGTACACAAACTACAAATCTACTGAAGTAACAACTGATCAGCCAAGTCCAACCAGAGTTAGGCCGAGCCGAAGGTGCTCTGCCCTCTGCAAGGGTACATAGATAGGCATTAGCTCGACCACATACTAGTTTATAGACAGCGTTCGGCTGACAACAAAATGCAATCGCCTTTCACCCACTACCATACAACTGCCCACCTCAAGTCCCTTAGCCTTTAGACTTTAGCCTGCCATAATTCGCTGGCCACAGCCCCAGCCCCAGCCACAGCCACAGCCTCAGTCACAGCCATAGCCACAGCCCGAACGCTCTCTCAAAAATTTGCTCGTTCTCACTTTAATTTCTTGCAATTTTTCTTAGAGATTTTTGATTCTTCCATTTTCCTTTGTTCACTTGACACGTGTAAGATACTTGCAACAAGGATGATGATATCTCAGTCGGCTGTATCGCGTTTAAGCTTTTGCAAATCTACAATAATACAATTTTGATTTAATTTTTCGTTGATGGAAAACAAAACTCTTAAAAGGAATAAACCCTGTACTAGTTTTTATGTAAACCACTTTCATTTCACTCTTTTCCGATTCCTACAATAACTACATACATATCCAACTAGTAATGTTTTCGATTTGTTCACGTTGGCATTAAGTAATACTAATAACCTGCTCAATGGAATGTCCTTTTAGCTGAAATTTAATTGAAGTTTGAATTTTCTATACTATTATTTCATAATTAATAACATAGAACTAGTTTATGAATATAAATATATATAT